TCATTACATCAGTTACTAGTGCTATCATCAACACTAGTTACTAGTGCTATCATCAACACTAGTTACTAGTGCTATCATTACATCAGTTACTAGTGCTATCATCAACACCAGTTACTAGTGCTATCATCAACATCAGTTACTAGTGCTATCATTACATCAGTTACTAGTGCTATCATTAACACCAGTTACTAGTGCTATCATTACATCAGTTACTAATGCTATCATCAACATCAGTTACTAGTGCTATCATCAACATCAGTTACTGGTGCTATCATTAACACCAGTTACTAGTACTATCATTACACCAGTTACTAGTGCTATCATTACACCAGTTTCTAGTGCTATCATTACATCAGTTACTAGTGCTATCATTACATCAGTTACTAGTATTATCATCAACACTAGTTACTAGTGCTATCATCAACATCAGTTACTAGTGCTATCATTAACATCAGTTACTAGTACTATCATTACACCAGTTACTAGTGCTATCATTACATCAGTTATTAGTACTATCATTACACCAGTTACTAGTGCTATCATTAACACTAGTTACTAGTACCATCATCAACACTAGTTACTAGTACTATCATCAACATCAGTTACTAGTGCTATCATCAACACTAGTTACTAGTACTATCATCAACACCAGTTACTAGTGCTATCATCAACATCAGTTACTAGTGCTATCATTACACCAGTTACTAGTACTATCATCAACATCAGTTACTAGTGCTATCATTACACCAGTTACTAGTACTATCATTACACCAGTTACTAGTGCTATCATTACATCAGTTACTAGTACTATCATCAACACCAGTTATTAGTGCTATCATCAACATCAGTTACTAGTACTATCATCAACACCGGTTATTAGTGCTATCATCAACATCGGTTACTAGTGCTATCATTACACCAGTTACCAGTGCTATCATCAACACCTGTTACTAGTATTATCATCAACACTAGTTACTAGTGCTATCATCAACACTAGTTACTAGTGCTGTCATTACACCAGTTACTAGTGATATCATTACATCAGTTACTAGTGCTATCATCAACACTAGTTACTATTGCTATCATCAACACTAGTTACTAGTGCTATCATTACACCAGTTACTAGTACTATCATCAACACTAGTTACTAGTGCTATCATTACACCAGTTACTAGTACTATCATCAACACCAGTTACTAGTGCTATCATCAACAATAGTTACTAGTACTATCATCAACACTAGTTACTAGTGCTATCATTACACCAGTTACTAGTACTATCATCAACACCAGTTACTAGTACTATCATTAACACCAGTTATTAGTACTATCATCAACACTAGTTACTAGTGCTATCATTACATCAGTTACTAGTGCTATCATTACATCAGTTACTAGTACTATCATCAAC